TGCAGGAGAACCGTCGATTTTCCTTTCTGGGTTTCCAGCCCTCTCTGACTCGCCCGCTCAGCTGATGCCGTAGCGTCACCGTATACGCAGCTCTTAAGAAGGGCCAAGTCTTTTACCTTTCACTTTAGTACAAGGAAGCAGCAGATGATCATCTCCATTAATCTAAGATGTTCAACCATGACTTTTACTTGATGCCTTCCACTTTGTATGAAATGATTCAATATATTCAATATTGACACCTACAATTGAACATTAAATTTAATAATCAAAATATATAAGATATTTTCAAAAGAAAATGATATTGTAAAAGATTATTTAAAATCATTTTTGAATTAATTTTTGGAATATAAAAAAGAAATTGAAGAAAAATTTAATTTTAAAAAATTTTTTTATGTTCTAATAGCCTTTGTTTAAACAGATTGTAAATAAAATTTCAAAATATTATTACAGTACATATTAATAAAAAGCAATTATATTCATTAAAAATTAAAAAAAAGCATGATTTTTTATTATTAAATAATATAAAAATTAAATAATATAGTTTATTTTTTACATAAATATTAACTAAATTAAAATAAATAATATAAAATATTTTTAAAAATGTTATAATAAAAAATACCTGCACTCTTTGCCAATCCTTCAGGACTAAATGTGAAAACTCTTTTATCATCTGGATTACAACCAGTTAATAATGTTACAACTGGTGTTTCTGTATCATTTGTTATACCAACTTTTGTTTGTTGGGTAAGATAGTGACAGCACTCTATAATTTGAAAAAATAACCATGCTTCTTTATCCTTTGGCCTTGGTCCTTTAATAAATGGTAATGATAAACGTTCATGAGGTCTTTGAGCTCGTAGAAATCTTGAACCACGTTTTAATTGAGTTTCCAGCCAACGTGTTGCTTCTCTTGCTCTACCACTAATACGTTTTACTTCATCCAATGCAGAAACAACTAAAAAGTTTTATTATTATTTTTAACTAAAATGATTCAGAAAAAACAATATAATTCATTTTTCAAACTTTTCTTTTACATACCAACACTAGGAATTACAACAATAAATTTCTTGGCATATACCAAACGCTTTAGAGCCGGCGTGTGCTTAGATAAAGCCTCGTGATCAGGTACCAAATAAGGAGACATGAGTCTAGATCTTAAACGAGTCTCTAAAGCACAGACTTCCGCTTTCAACCATAATTTTCCCATATGTCTCATTAATTTTCCACGTGAATGATCCATTTCCCAATCTTTATTATTACCCTTTACATTAGAAGTATTTAAATCAATTGTTACAAATAATTGTTTTGATTTTTCATATTTTACTCCAGCATCTTCAACAGAACTAAGGAAATATCCAAATTCAATTAATTTTAATGTTCTCAATAAGATTTCTTCTTGTTTATTCATTTTATGTTTTTGTAATATCTTCCAATTCAGAGATTTCTGGGCATCTTCTAAAAGATTTAATCCTCTTAAATCAATATCTTCCGGTAACGGTACTATCTTAACACATTCCTTCAATTTATCTATGCTCGATAAAATCATACTGTCATCTTTATAATTTTTCAATAGCATTTCTGCATTTATATTAATCAAATTTAATAAAATTGTAATACGTTTTAATAAAGTGCGTGAACTTTTTCCACATATTCGTATAATATCTGGATTACTTTTCAACCAATCACAACATATTTTAATAGACGCTAATATTTCTTTTCCAGATATAATATTTAGTATATCATCTGGTTTTAAATTTTGTTTCTTTAATTGAGCAATGTATGTTATTCTATCCGATGATGTATTATTTTCATCGAATGTGCTGTTAGAATTAGTTATTTCTATATTCTCAGAATTAGTTATTAAATCTTTATCATTTAATTTTTTTTGTTCATCAGGTGTTTGTTCACCATTTGGAACATGATCATTCATTATCTCAGATGTTTCATTTTCTTTTTCCAAATCTATATGTCCGTTCATTGTCTTTATTTCAGAATTTTCACTATTTTCTTTATTTACTTGCACAGATGCACCTTCATCATCCGTAATATCTTCGGATAATGCATCATCTGATAATGCATTTTCTTCACTTAATACATCATCTTCTGTTTCAGAAACATCAGAATTTATTTCATCGCTAGATGATTCCATTGTTGTATGATCAATATCGCTTACATCTGAATCACTACTATTTCTTCGTTTTCGTCTTCGAAGTTTTGTGAGCAAACTTTTATTTTTATCTCGAGTTTTTCGTGAACCGTTCTGAATGTCACCATTTTTTATAACATTTGCTTTATCGGAAATTGTTTGGCTATCAATAATTTTAGATTCATTATTTTCATCCGGATTTGATTTTATAGTAGTATCCTTCTCTTCAACATCCACTGATTCAGTGACACAATCGTTATCTTTCGAATGTGATAATCCTATGTCAGGAAGTGATAAATCTATAAAAGATTCTTGTAATCTAGTTATTGTAAATTGTATTAGTTGAGACAATATTGCTAAGGTTATGGCGACAACACCTTGCACCTCACTAGATTCTTTGCTTTTTAATCTTGAAATGGACATTAAACATATGGCTACAATTTTGAATATCATATCATCTGTTAAATAATTTGTTTGTTCATATTTACAGTTTTGAAGATATACTTCGATATTGCTCTCTTTTTCATCTATATTCATATCATTTGGTTCAAGTTGTTCTGAA